AAACCACAAAACATGTACACAAGCTCATTTCGTTTGGCTACTGGCGAGGTCCGGTTTCATAACATTTGCTTCTCAAATCTAAAATGAAATTACGTTCCGTTACGGAACGTCAGCAGCCAAGTGATGCTTATAGCGACGATGCCGGGACCACAGAGGAGGCGATGCTACTTGAATTCATTAACAGTTGCCTTTATATTATAGGAAACAAGGCTATAACTTATTATTCGAAGTTTTATCAGTACGAAATGTGAGAATTTGTTTGAACAGAAAAAAAAATCCTAGCTGTTATAATATCTACTTATGCAGCCCAGCGGAAATGTCCTAGAATACGTACTGGTTCTCGGGTTCGTACGCCTATACGCATTTGACTCTGCATATCAATGTCGTCGTAGTGGTACTACTATATGTTGCCCTGTTATTTCACAATGTGTACGTCACTGTCACTAAGTTTAATATATTGAGATTAAATAATTACGTAAGCCGTTACTTACGGGAAGTTTCGAGGACATATGCTCTGAGCTTCGGTAGCGACTAAGTCCACTAAGATACTTGGCTCCAATGAGAACATTGGACAAATCGTCTCGTGCAATTTTACCTGAGTAAGATTGTTTCTCTCACTAAGTTAAAAATGTCAAAAAAACCTTTGGAAGCATTTTGAATTTGTTGCTGATTGAAGTGTGCCTTTTGGGCTATGTATGGTCACGGAGTGTATGTTTACCATCAAACAATAAGATGTAAACAGGAAGTTAAATGCAGCATTTAACCATAAAATGGTGAAACAGGAATTACTTTATTTTGTCAAAAAGCCCACAATTTTTTTTTGTACTCATTTTACAGTGAACGTATATCACTTTAATACATGTGAAGTTCAACGTGACGGTTTGTAAAAGGGTTAATTTCCCACCAACCGTTCATAGCAATTCGGCGGCGTCATTCGAACAAGCTACTTCCGTCGTGCTAACGATTGGCCAAAGTCGTGATCTTTTCCCAGCCCGGAAATGCAGGTAAGGAGACAGAGTAAACGACCGCTGTGCTTCACAGATTGTGTATACCTCGTCGATGCTCATCTCTGCTCGACCGCTTCACTCTCTGCACAGACTGGCAACTGATAGTGGCCTCTGTCCCGGTTCTTGACTTCCAACTGACATAACATCGTCGCTCGGTCTAATGGGTAGGGACATCCCCAGCAGGGCAACGGACGCTACGGGACTGCCCATCTGGATCAAATTCGCTTCCTGTGCGATAACAACAGGAAAACTACATGTCTACTTGCTACGACATCATGCAACGAATATAAGAAGGATAGAAAAAATTACTCGTAAAAAACAACAGTTTTTTTTAGCATCATAAACACACTCTGGGTAGACTAACATGTCTACTGCAGCAAGTGCAAGATACTATAAGAGGAACAAAAAGATTACTTGTAAAAACAAACAGTTTTGTTTAGCCATAATAAGCACACTTGGGTGAGACTATTTACACGAATTGCCCCGTACGCATATAGCAAAGACAACTAATGTACATTTAACTGTCCATCTTGACGCAAAGATAAATGAAGTTATCTAGATAAATGTCACTGTGTTTGCAGTCGGTCAGCCCATCACTAATGTTGATCTTCCACTGGACCTCTCTTTCACATCAATTGTAGAAAACCTCGGGTATAATACTACCCTGCCCCTATTCCATCGCCTATCCTAGCCTTCCTACACTACCCAAACCTTCCGTATTCACCAGTAACCCAAGCGCCTTTCATATGCTATCATTAACCACCTTCTAACTCAACGCCATTTTACCACTCACATACACATCCACAGTCACCTTCTAAAACCCATGACGTCCGCCAACACGTCTTCTGATTTCACATCTTATTTTTCTCGCACCCACTTCGTCCAAAATGACACTGTAGCCTCACCTTAGGTGTGAAGAAGAGGGCGTAGGCGGCGTACGTATATAAAGCCAAGAGAATATATATTGGAAGAACTCCCATTATATAGCATATCTCCAATTATATACTGTGATTAATGCATAGATGCATAACAGTTTTTTATGCCAAAATAAATGTTTCAGATATCTGAAAGTCTGAAATCTGACGAGAGACTGGCGGCTATCGCCTACAATGATCGCCATTTTGGTTTTCGAAATATCGCGCAAATAAAAACAAAAAATATTCCAGTCAAATTACTGTAACGTAAGAATCTAAAACACAAATATTAGCACGTATATATGGGTATGATTTGACGAGTTTGTTAAACTCAGCTAGAGCGAAATAAACGTCTGATATAGGACGTTGTCAGTCTCTCCCATAGAGGAGTAACAACCCAGCTAAAACACATTAAGTTTTCACAACTTGCTGCGCAATGTTGTAGTTTGCCGGTTAGGTCAGGCAATATAACGTGCCGCCCGTCTAAGAAACGTTCTAAACCATTGGCGAACGTTTACACTCGCACGCCTTCCCACAAACGTCTATGTAGTAACGTTTTTAAAACGTTATAGGAGCTGTTAAATACGTAATATGCTATTATACATACTTTTTCCTTTAGTAAATTGACATCTTGATATTTTATGGAAATATACTAGATCATATCATGTTAAGGTATAACCTTAATTAACTTACGTCATGTTAAATGTTATTAGTCGCTTATTGCTGTCAGATATTGTTGCAACGTTTCCGCACAACGTTGTGGAACGTCCGTAAAATACATTCGTGTAGGAGCAGGCCATGACGATTGTGTCCTATCAACATGATAGTAAAACTGATAGAAATACTGGGATATTTAAATCCACAAATGGTCTTTTCTTACCGGTCTGGCTTTTTTTGAACAGAACTTCTCGCGTAGGAACCATTGCAAAATTACCTAATTTGCATAATTAAAAAAAAAAAATCAAAACCTTGTGGAATGTTTTGCGGGCCAGTCGCTTATTCATTTCACATCACTAGAATTGGAGCAAAATCCATTTGAACTGAACGTGACTTATGGACCATGATTTGCCATTTTTGCCAAAAGTGGACGTGACTCGAAAGTAAGTAGATGGCAGTGCCTGCCAAATATAGGACGTTGCAAACCTTGCCATGGAGCGTAACAAATCTATATGCAATTTTAACACGATGTGGGCAAACGTTCCTGAGTTATCGTTGACGCATAGGTCAGGACACTGAAATTGCCATAGCGAAATTTGCCAAAATCGACATATTAGCATAATTTAAAAAGAAATCAAAACCGTCGGTGATATGTTTTGGGCCAGTCCTTATTCATTCACATACTAGAAAATGAGAAAAATCCGTTAAACCTAAACTGACTTATGGCCATTTCCATTTTTTGCGCAAAAAGTGGGCGTGCTCGAATGTAGGTCGACTGGCGTGGCTCGCAAAATAGGACGTTCAAACTCTCCCCATAGGAAGTAACAACTATATGCAATTTGAAACATGTGGGTCAAACGGTTCTTGAGTTATCGTTGACTGTAGGCAGACACTGAAATGCATAATGAAATTGCCCCAAAATCTACCTAATTTGCATAATTGAAAAAGAAAATCAAAACCTCTGTGCACTGTTTTGGGGCCAGTCCTCATTCATTCACATACAGAAGATGAGCAAATCATTGAACTGAACTGACTTATGGCCATTTCCATTTTTGCCAAAAGTGGACGTGGCTCGAATGTAGGTCGCACTGGCGTGCTCCAAACAGGACGTTCAAACCTCTCCCATAGGAGTAACAACTATATGCAATTTGAAACATGTGGGTCAAACTGTTCTTGAGTTTAAGTCTGACGGGTAGCAAAATGTTGGACAAGACGGCACGGGAGTTATATTTTAACGAAGTACCAGATAACGCAAAATAGTATCCATACGCCATAGCGCAAATGGTTCCTGGAACGAAAACAGTATATTTGTTTCCTGGCTGCATAAGTAATATAGATAACATATGATTTAAACAAATTTCACAATTTCGTACTGAATAAACTTCGAATAATAAGTTATAGCTTGTTTTATAATATAAAGGAACTGTTAATGAATCAAGTAGATCGCTCCTCTGTGTCCCGGATGTGTATAACATCACTGTGGTGCTACGTTCGTAAGAGAAGTAATTTCATTTAGATTTTGAGAAGAAATGTTATGAAAGTAGCAATACAAATGAGTTGTACTGAAATTTTCGCAACATATGCAAGCTCACAGTAGGTCTATGTATGCATTTAGCTGCGAGTTTGATCAACTTTAAAGTCATTCTGGGAACCAAGTACATTGCGATTCATCACAAACGTTTGTCGAAATACAGCTAAGCACGTAATAATGCATTGTAATGCTAATTTTTTCTGCCAGGCTGCAGAGTTGAAGCGAAAGGAGAATGAGAGACGACGGAAGAAGCTGCTTGAGGCACGGAGGAGGATGCACGATAACACGGGAAACTCGCCGAGTGAGTTAGAAGCACAGCCGACGTCACATTAGCAGATGACAGCCTTAACAACGAAAACAACGTGTTCGTTAGCATGATCAATAATTAATACCATAAAGATATGTAGCACATGATAGCACCTGATGTCACGTTAACGGACGATGTCAATAATGACGAAAACAACGTGTT